CCTGGCTTAATTTTTGATTTATTGTAGAGATGAGGTCTCGCCAAGTTGCCCAGGCGGGTCTCGAACCCGCGGGCTCAGGCAATCCATTCACCTCAGCCTCCCAAAGGTGCGGGATTACAGGCTGAGCCACCGAGCCTGGAGACTTTTATTCTTTGATGTGGGTGGTAATAATTGTGTTCACCTTAAAATAATTCATAGGCTATATAACATTTGTTCTATGTCATTTCCCGTATATAAGTTGTATTTTATAACAAAGGTTAAAAATTTGTTTTTAAATTTTTACTTTTGGGAAACAAACTACTAGATACAATTAAAATTGTTTAGATTTCTTTCTTCCATCTTTTCTTTCTTAATCTCTTCTTTTTGGTATGGCATTACTGAAATAAAACTTCCTTATCTCTGATTAGAAGACAATATGCAAGTGAAACATATTCTTTTATTACCCTACTCATATCAAATGTCACTGAAATCCATTAAGAATTCATGTGACAACTTTACTAGCAGCCATTTGATTTCAGGATGAAGGTTTGAGCTAGTAAGTTAAATGTGATTCTTAATACTCTGTAGACATGAATTATCTATCACATCTGATCAATGTCAGTCAATTTCTTTCTTTTTTTTTTTTTTGAGTTGGAGTCTCACTCTGTTGTCCAGCCTGGAGCGTAGTGGCATGCTCATGGCCACCGCAGCCTCAACCCGCTGGGCTCAGGCGATTCTTCTATCTCGGCCTTCCAAGTAGCTGAAACTAAAGGCATGTGCCACCACACCCAGCTAATTTTTTGATGTATTGTAGAGATGAGGTCTCATCACATCGCCCAGGTTGGTCTTGAACCCTAGGCTGAGGCAATCCTCTCACCTCAGCCTCCCAAAGTGCGGGGATTACAGGTGTGAGTCACTGTTCCCAGCTTCAGTCAACTTCTAATACCATGGAACAGACAGATAAATAGCATATATCAGGAGATCTTATTGGAAACCAGTACCTTATGGTGGTCAATCTGAACTGACTAACCAACCAGACCCAACAGAGTTGATCCAGGATACAAAACAGAGCAGGTCAGATAAGCTAACACTCAAATCACTCTGGGCTCCTCCATGTCATGTGACCATCTACAAATTCCAAGGCTCTTGTAAAACTCCACCCTTGTACAGCTAACCATTCTTTGCTCACATGCACCACCCAATATTTTTTCTCTGGCATTTCTTTTGGAATTTCTCTGTTTCTCACTAGTCTGCAAATAGCAGTGAGGAAAAGTAGGTAAGAGATGTTAGTGGACAAGAGATGCTGGCCAGACAAAATTGATGTGCTATTCTACAAGCGTTATTTCTTGTTAGTTTAATTTAATTCACAAAAGGAATGAGAAGCCTTTTTAACCCAAAAAGGGTTGAGAAAGTCATCTGACTTGGAAATAACAGTCTAACTGGATTGTTAAAAAAGAACCCTCCACATTCAAGACATTTTCAGGTCTTCAGGCTATCTTTTACCATGACTAATTAAAACACATTAATTTTTTAAAAATACTGTACTATTACACAGTTGCATGCCCATCTATTTCACAGAAGCAAGCTTCAAGAACATTTACCTAAAACTTAAAGAGCACATATAAAAAGTCAAGAACTACTCACTCATGTTTAAGGCAGCCATCCCTCCTTGTGGAGCTGCTGGATAGACATTTGGTACATTTGTGGTCATAAAATCTGCAATCTGCTGTAATGCCAATAGGCCTGTGGGATTCTTCCCCTTCTTAAATTGTTCCTGTATCATTGATTCCAATTCTTCACAGAAAGCCTAATAAAAGGAATATTAAAACAGTAAGACAGGGTGGGGAAGCAGGACTGGCGGTAATAGAAATCTACCTCGGGAAGGGAGGGCACACCTCATTAACAAGGGTACCTATGTAATGAACATTTGTATACCTAACCCTGAATTATACCCCACATCTTTAAAATAAAAAAAATTAAGCCGAGCTCGGTGGCTCAGCCTATAATCCCACATCTTGGGAGGCTGAGGTGAGTGGACTGCCTGAGCCCAGGGGTTTGAGACCCGCCTGGACAACTTGGCGAGACCTCATCTCTACAGTAAATCAAAAAATTAGCTGGGCGTGGTAGTGCACGCCTGTAGTTCCAGCTACTTGGAAGGCTGAGACGGAATGATTGCTGGAGCCCAGCAGGTGGAGGTTGCAGTGGCCGGGAGGGTCACTGCACTCCAGTTTGGGCGACAGAGTGAGACTCCAATTCAAAATAATTAATTAATTAATTAAAAGTTAATAAATAAGCCAGGCTCGGTGGCTCAGCCTGTAATCCTGTGCCTTTGGGAGGCTGAGGTGAGTGGATTGCCTGAGCCCGCGGGTTCGAG